TCTTCTTCTTCTTCTTCTTCTTCTTCTTCTTCTTCTTCTTCTTCTTCTTCTTCCTCTTATTGTTGCTGTTTCTGCTGCTGTTGGTGGTGTATTTTTTTCAATAAGGCTTACCTTTACACCTTCCATGATTTCAAACGTATTGACGATGTCTCTCCTTTGAAGCATGTCAAGGCAGTTAAGATCTGAAGGGAGGCAGGAACTATTTTAGCAGTCAACTTCCTCTATGTCAACCGCCCAGGCAAAGTTGTATCATGCTTGCTACTTTGAGATCATCTGTCATCTGTCAAGACGTTAACGTGTCTTTCTTTTTTTCTATCTGCAGAACAAACAAGTAGGTTTTGTAGCAGTTGTCGCAAATAGAAGATCCGAGTCCTGACTTCGTGCACGGATAATAATTTGTATCAAGTTTCTGGGCGTCTCTGCAGGGACAGTGCATCATTCTCCGCTTAACCTGCGCCAATGAGGGCCATATTTATTAATTAAGCTGTCCGTCAGTAGCTCAGGGGGAAAAAATCCCTGTAGCGTCCTGAAAACCTCGGAAATGAAAAGACATAAAGTCCCTTACAGTGACCAGGAAAATTATTCTTGAAAATAGTTTGAATAGAGCCCCCGTCTCAAAGAGCTAACCCCGACCTGCCCTGACCAGTACTCCTTATTTTAAAAAAAGAAAAGTTCAGAGGAAAACCTATCAAGAAAGCTTTAAATAGTTTTCGCAAAAATGTTAATGGCCTCTCATGTCATTCTCCAGGCATTCCTACTCTCAGCTCTCAGCCTATGCTAGAGTTGTCCGAGCTTGGGGATTTTTGTAGTCCGCTTCTCCGTTGATGTTCTTCCATGCAATCTGCTTTTCCATCAACGCTCTTCAATATCGTCTGTTTTTGCACCTATGCTCTTTTGTGTAGTCTACATCTCCAATGATTTTCTTTCATGCAGTCTGGTTCTCCTGTCAGTTCGTTTATTTATCTGCTTTTCTATCGAAGTTCTTTTAAGCAGTTTGTTTCTCCGTTTATTTTTTTATGTGGTCGTCATCTCCACCTAATATGTTTAATATAGTATACTCTTTTGGGCTTACATGTATTTTTACTCGGAACATCCCCAACACTCTTTTTCAACTCCTCAATGGAAGTAAATAAGTAAAAAGTATGGCCAGCCTTTTTGACAGCTTTATGCCTTTGACGATCAACCACACTATTATTGTAACTTTGTATATTGGCGTTATGGTGTAGCGGTTTGGCGCTTCGCCGTTGCGGGCAGGATTTGAGTTCAATTACTTTGTGGAAAGATCTTTTCTCATTTTTTTGTTATCAAGTATCTCGGTCTTTCTGCTGGAATGTTGCATCTCAGCCTGGCCGTGTTTGCCGTCGCAGGCAGATTCAAAGTTCGCCTTTTAATTGACTTAAATTGTGTCGAGGAGATTGTTAAAACAGTTATGTTATTATGTTTTCTTCCAGTAGATTCCCTTTTAGTACTTACTTTCGTTTTGACAGTTTTGTACACTCATTTATTTTGTCTACTCTGCAAGGGACATGAGCACGTCAAGTATGATGTTCAGCCTCTTACATTATGCCCGTACGATGTCTACTAGTGCGTTAGATCAATACTGGATTAAGCTTCCTGTCTCACAATGGATTTTTTTTTTGGGGGGGGGGTGGTGTGGAAAACTCTCTGACTGAAACAGAAAAATAGGTAGATAGAAACTACGCTACAAGAACGTATTCATACGCCACAAGAGAAACATTGAGGACAACGCCTACGTTTTATTCATTGACGACGCCCATTATAGTCATTCGACATGGCTTGTTTGCAACAACAAAAATGTTACTGCCTTCGCTACTGCATAATGTCATATGAGCGCATGGTACTCCAGCTCGCTGGTTTTATACTAAATGTGATATTATGTGTTGACAAATGAGTTTTTTCTAAGATTTTAGCCTCATGGTCAAGTAAGTTAGTTTTATATATATAAAGAGAGAGAGAGAGAGAGAGAGAGAGAGAGAGAGAGAGAGAGAGAGAGAGAGAGAGAGAGAGAGAGAGAGAGAGAGAGAGAGAGAGAGAGAGAGAGAGAGCTCTATATCAAATTATTACATGAAGTAATAAAGATATATTTCACTTGCAGAAAATGGCATCAGTTTAAAATCTACAAATTTGATGGGTCTATTTCTGGTCGATATCTCCATATGTGGATTGCGAGAAGTAACTCATTTTGTCAGCACGCCTCACAAATAGTCAAAGTTAAAATACAATGTGAAAATAGCACTATATCTTCTTTTTAGTGTATACAATGTTACATGAAAGTTGGTGTTTCTGATTCGTGTAGGATTGTTCGAATGCCTTTTGCCTGCTGCTTGTAGGACAGATCATCAGCATCATCATCATCATCTTCATCATCATCATCATCATCATCATCATCATCATCATCATCATCATCATCATCGTCGTGGTCGTCGTCATTATCATCATCATCATCATCATCATCATCATCATCATCATCATCATCATCATCATCATCATCATCATCATCATCATCATCATCATCATCATCATCATCATCATTGGGAGATCCAGTGGCTAGGTGAGCAGTGAGTTCAGACTCAAAGTAATATCACGCAAGTGTCGGTGACACGACGTTTCTATTAGTGGTCACATGGGTGTGTCCCACGACACGACAACCCTAGATTAAAAATTATAGGATGCTGCACAGTGGCAATCAGCAATGGCATTTTTGTGAAATTGTTCTGTATTGGTGTAATATTGTGTATTTATATATGTATTTATGTATGCATGTATATGTTTGCCATTGTAACCCAAATTTCCCCACCTGGATCAACGAAATGCAATTTATTATTATTATTATTATTATTATTATTATTATTATTATTACTATTATTATTATTATTATTATTATTATTATTATTATTATTATTATTATTACTATTATTACTATTATACTATTATTATTACTATCATTATTACTATTATTAGTATCATCATCATCATCATCCACCTCATCATAATCAACATCATCCACCTCATCATCATCACGCTCATCATCTTCAGCAGCATCATCAGCATCATCAGCCTTTTTCTCCTTGCACCACAGTATAAGCCACTAACAAGAGCACTCCACCTACTTCTGTTCCGCGTTATAATCTTCATCTCTGTTCGGCTGTATATTTCTCATTTATCTGGATTATAAACCCCTCTTCAAAGCACTTTAAGGCTTCCTTTCTCTCTCTGCCCTTGTGGATTCTAATTCAAGGTTTGGTGACTAATGTTTGCTACGGTGTTCTCAAGGTGTGTCCATTCCACAAGTGAGCTCTAGGGCCACCCTTATGTAATGTCTCCCACGTTCGTGTAGGCAAAAAGTTCTTAAAGAAAAAGTCCCATAAATCGCCCACGTACATATCCACAGTATTTCCACTTCACATTCAGAAAAAAACAAAAACAAAAACAAATACGGACCTGTAGAAATTCATTTATTAGAATATGTATTTTCCAGGAGATTGTTGATATCACACCTCTCAAAACAGTCTTGTGAATCGATAAAATTGACATATAATAATCTTTAAAGTTGGAAAAGTTGTAAAAGATAAACATAAATTAGATACCCCCCCCCCTTCCTCTTTTTTTACTCCCCACACACAAATCTTGTGTATATTGCTATTGCTATTGCTCTGTTAAAATCGATCCACGAGAGCTGAAAACATTGTAACACTCTTTAAGCAGGATTTTGGACTCCGAGAGACCTCTAGATACAACGTTGGCTCCTTTTTGTGCCCTTAAGTACACATGTGTTTTTCAACCTATGGCAAATGTGCATTGTTTCTTTCATGAATTTTTAGAACTGCTGTTATTGACCATAGCACAGGCCACATATCATCTTGATCCTTATTTCTTCCATCGCTCTGCAGATACAAAGTTCATCCTTAAACATTGCAGAAGGACGAACTGTTATCATGTTTATCAATTTGGTTGAACATTTAAACTATTTTTGAATACTAAAAATGAGGTTCTGTTTAGAAGAAGAGATTTACTGCACAATTGCTTAAGTTCCATCAAATATCAGTGTAGAATCCGACAACTAATATCAAATCAGTTAATACTGAAGTTCATTTATAAGTTACACACATGTTCCTTTGAAAGTCTTTTCTGTGTGTGTTCCAAGATGGTGCGGTTAAATAAAAATAAAATAGAGAAACGGCAAACAAGGATAGAGTGAAAAAAGTGTGAAGATTTCGTTGGATTTCATAGACGTATTGGCTCAGTACATAAAATTATTGCTATATCACAAAACAGCGTATCTAATGTTTTAATGGATGCACGTGACACAGAAGTTGGTCTATGACTTGTTGTAAGTCGTGAATAGATCAACACAAAATGATTACTCATTTCTCAGAATCAATTGAAACAGTGCCTGTTTGCTGTGCAGCTGTAAAGTATTTCTGGCTGGACTGTTAACTCTTTCAGGGGAGAAAACGATCCTGAGAATATACGTTGCGTTCAGTGTAACAAAAGTTTATTCGTATATCACAAAAATATTTTAAAATGTTGAATTTTCCGGTAAAGATCCAGAGTAACAAAGGTTAATCACGAAAGTCAAAAGGTTGGATTGTTAGATTTTGCGTCATGAAAACTCTGTTTTTGTTTGTTCTCCTTTCTGTATTAGTCATTTCGTTATACTCTTTATAAGGCAAAATTTCGGTAGACTTTAAACTGTTTCTCTCATTCATAGTCCTTGGCCTTAGATGTTTACCTCCCCATCTGACCGGAGCCCAGGTATGGCTTGTCCAGAATGTCTCCGAACTTCTCATCACTGATGACAGACTCGTTCCTGTCCAAGAATCGGAGGAGCTCCACTACGTCGCCGTACGTGAGCTGGCCCTCATGGGCAGGCTCGTCGCGTGACCCATCAAGATCTGACGTGTACAGGCTGTTGATCACACGTCTCAGGGGAAGTGAGTCCAACACGTGGAAGCTCGTGCTACGCTTTCGTCTGCTCTGACCTTCGGAATCACTCGCGCCTAATTTGCCCTGTGTGCCGTCCATCGCCGCCTCCTCCTCCAACACATCTCGCTTCTTGATAAAACTACTTCCTATGGTGTCGATTGGCCTCTTCATGAACCTGTGCCAAGTGGGTTTTGGCCTTTTCCTGAAATGGCGTCCCCCGTAAACGAAAGCCCCTCGCTTGATGAAAGAGCTCCCGATGGTGTCTATCGGTCGTTTGATGAAGCTGCTGCCGATCGAGTCCACAGGTCGCTTCATCATTTCGTTTTGTCCATAACTTTTCTTAATGAAACTGCTTCCAATGGTGTCTATCGGCCGCTTTATGAAGCTACTGCCAATAGAATCAATGTTTTTCTTGATGAAACTGCTTCCGATACTGTCAACGGGTCGCTTTATAAAGCTACTGCCAATTGAATCAATGCTTTTCTTGATGAAACTACTTCCGATAGTGTCAATAGGCCTCTTAATAAACGCTGCCTGGTCCATATTCTTCTTGATAAAACTGCTTCCAATCGTGTCAATGGGCCGTTTGATAAAGCTGCTACCGATAGAGTCGACATTCTTTTTGATGAAACTGCTTCCAATAGTATCGATTGGTCTCTTCATAAATTCATTTTCGCCCCCGAATCTTCTCTTTTTGATGAAGCTGCTACCAATACTGTCCACCGGCCGTTTGATGAAAGAACTACCAATCGAATCCACCCCGCGCTTTATAAACGAACTGCCAATAGTGTCAATAGGTCTTTTAATGAAAGAACTTCCAATTGAATCAACGCCACGTTTGATGAAAGAGCTTCCGATAGAGTCAACCGGTCGCTTGATAAAGGAGCTTCCGATTGAATCAACAGGTCGCTTGATGAAGGAGCTTCCTATGGAATCAACTGGCCGTTTGATAAAAGAACTTCCGATAGAATCGACTGGCCGTTTGATGAAAGAACTTCCAATAGAATCGACTGGCCGTTTGATGAACGAACTTCCAATGGAATCGACTGGCCGTTTGATGAACGAACTTCCAATAGAATCGACTGGCCGTTTGATGAACGAACTTCCAATGGAATCGACTGGCCGTTTGATGAAAGAGCTTCCTATAGAATCGACGGGTCGTTTGATGAAAGAGCTTCCAATGGAATCGACTGGCCGTTTGATGAAAGAGCTTCCAATGGAATCGACTGGCCGTTTGATGAAAGAACTTCCAATGGAGTCAACTGGCCGTTTGATGAAGGAACTTCCAATGGAGTCAACTGGCCGTTTGATGAAGGAACTTCCAATGGAGTCGACTGGTCGTTTGATGAACGAACTTCCAATGGAATCGACTGGCCGTTTGATGAAAGAGCTTCCGATGGAATCGACTGGCCGTTTGATGAAAGAGCTTCCGATGGAATCGACTGGTCGTTTGATAAAAGAGCTTCCAATAGAATCGACAGGTCGTTTGATAAAAGAACTTCCGATGGAACCCACATGTCGTTTACTGAGAGAACCATCACCTGCGCCCTCGGCTGTCTCACTCACGGAGGAGGCTTGGACAAATTGTGATTTTTTCTTGAGAACTCCATCTGGAACTTCACCTCTGAAACGAGATAAAATGGGGCAGTACGTTAGTCGCTTGACATAGGCAAACTTTCTCAGGAATGTTTCGTTTCTTTTAATAAAACATACCATTTAAATCAAGCAAACATACAGTCTACGACCACCTACCCAAAACAATCGCCTGTACAAACAATCATTTTTCCCCCTCATTTTATTTTATATATAGGGTATGTCAAAGATAGATGAAGAAAGGGAAGAAGCTGAAATAAAACGTCACAGTTTATATCATAAAGGTCAGGGGCGAAGCGTCTATATAATCAAATAATCACTGCTTCCCTTTCTAATTTTGAAACATTGTCGCTGTCAAATTCATCCTTAAACGTAAATCTCATAAATTAAATGTAAAAAGACGTTCGTAACCAACAACGAACAGTATGCCTAATATTCAAAACGGTTTCACGGCCACAGAAATAGCCTCCTCACCCCTCTCGGCCCACTCCATAAGCAGTCGCAAGCTTTGATTAAATAAGCTTAAAGTGAGGCTGGAATAGAGTTGAAGGGAACATGTGCATGGCAGTCAAAGCTGTTTCATTGCCACATATACCCTGTTCACCCCTTTGGGGTCACAGTTAAAATCAATCACAAGCCCTGATTAAGTAAGCTAACTAACACTGGTCGAGTCTACCTCACAAATGTGAGGGGAACTAACTCTTGATAATCTCTTGACTGCTGCTTGTGCTTGTTTTTTTTCCTCGACGTTTTACCGTCCTATAATCAAATCGTGACCTCGATTATGACACCAGCTCCTGGCCGCGAAAGGCTAACAAAAACAGCCAAAAGTGAAATTTAAAAAATAATAATTGTCATGTTCTACCAAAGAGTGAGACTCAATGGTAGATCTATAACATATAGATCTAGTACTGACATCTCTGCTTCTTTGCTTTGTGTTTATGTATTCACATCTAAAGTTAAGTTTAATTTTAGTGGGAACTGATATTTAATAAGATACTTTCCCGATTATTTTGGCGGTTGAACATACAATATGAATTCTGGATTTGTTTTCATTCACAACTCAGAGTCGCCGCCTCGAGTAAGATTCTTGTGTGATATCTACAGGCCCTATCTGGTCCCATTTCACTTTGATTACCCTGTCAAACAAGTCAGCCTTCGCCCCTGATAAAGGTGTATAAGAGCATGTTACTTTGTGTTTTCATCATGAGGTAGATACTATTCACAAAACTTTGAAATTCTTAACCTCATCATCGTCACTCTTTTTAGAGCACGTTACATGCATACTCTCCTCCTTAAAACCCACAAACCAATTCCTTTCTTATCTCCTATTATCAATTTTCATCACAATAGGCTTAACGCCCCTTTAAACACTATAAGATTATTTAAGTGGCGGGACCTCCGAATTTAAAGTCGATCTCAGATAGGACCGAGCCAAATGGATGAAGACCCTTAAAACTTCACCAAAACAACCCAAATTCAGAACGTCCTGTTGAGAATTGGAATTGCTTCTTTTTTAAATTCCGAGATTATTTCTGTTTGAAATCTTCCTCAGACGTTTTCATTCCAGACGTCCAGACGTCTGTACTTTAAAAAAAAGTATGTTTCTGTCCACTCTACTCTTGTTGTTTCTTTTCCCACAGTCTTGACACATTTACATTTAGCCGCAAACAGCGTGTCAATAGATCCCCCTACTCCGAGACAGGCATCGAGCGGGCAAACCAGTAAAAATTAATGGAAATTAACCCCTTAATTTCACAGCCAGAGATGCCGAAAATTCGATTTGGGGAGATTCTTGGCGACATCTGTCTGCGGAGCCCTGATTTGTCCCTCAACAGAAGACGCCATATTTTTCTTGCGAGCGGTGGTGGCGAGGCTGGGCAAAGGGAAAGGGAGGATAACTCTAGTATGATGTTAATGGTGGTGGTGGCAGTTACCGCCCTTTGATTAGAAGAAGGAAGATGGCTAGGTGTTTGAAACTGTGTGTGGATTTGCAGGATGGGGGGTGTGTGTGTGTCAATAGAGTGTGTGTGTGTGTGTGTTGTGTGTGTGTGTGTGTGTGTGTGTGTGTGTGTGTGTGTGTGTGTGTGTGTGTTTATTGTAAATTATAATTTACCGAGGAATAAAGTGTTCATTTTAAATGGTTGTCGTGTTAGACGGTGTCATAATAATGGGAAAACAATACGCAAAGGAGGGAGGGTTTTTAAAGTGGCCGTTTTATACAGGTTATCGACATGGACAGGTGGTCGTCAGGCCAGATTCGATCATGTTCAGTCGACTTGCGGCAGGGTTCAGGCTCACGGACCGTAATTTGCCTGTGCCTGCTTTTACCTTTTAAACAAGTCACAAAACTACTTTGGTCCGGTCAGCTGATCTTATATAGCGCGCCAAGCGTGGGTCAGTGAGTCACCTCCCTTGCTTGAAGAGCTGGGAGTGGTGTGGTGCTGAAGAGCTTCCGGTCAAGAGTTGGGATAGCTCCATTGAGGTCAAAACAACCAGGGAGTGGTGATAATTGTTAAGATAATACCAGGGTGCCCCTGTGGCAAAGTCTGGCAATTATGACAAGTTCCGGTGGGGAGGTTTTTCGATTTATCTGTTGTTCGTTTTCTAATTTCTTTTATTGTTTTGTTTTTGTTTATTTTGTTTTGATTGTATTCTTTGTGTTTTTGTGTTCGTGAATAAGGGCATTTTGTTGTTGTTTTTTCTAAATTGTTGTTAGTGTGGGTTGTTTTTATCTTTGTTTATGTTTTCAAGAGAAAGAGGGAGAGGGGTGAGGGGGAGGGGTGCGCTCGGTTATCCAACAATTTCGTTATGTGGTATATATTTTATTTCGTATTTTGAATCAGTAGAAAAATCTTGCTCTCTCATTGGCTTTCTACTAGAGGGTGGTTGGGGAGTACCACTGGTATGTCCTGCTTCTTTCCTTTCCCTCTGTTATTCTGTCCATCTGTCTCGTTCTTTTCAAATACAAAATGGCCGATACTTAAACAAACACACAACTTTAAAAAAATGATTATGTCATCTTCGTTTAACCAACATGTTTCTTTGGGGTTTATTTATGAACAGAAAGAGCCAGGAAAGAAGTCAAAACGTGATAGACTTTTGTTTTGTTTTGTTAAGCGTTGGGTGGGATTTCAGAGAGAAAAGAAAGAATAGAAACTGAATACATCTGAAGAGGTTGGTAGCAATGAGTAGACAATGGACAAGAAAAGGACAATGCCGAAATGACAAGACTGAGGAACCATATTGGTTAGTCTGATCCTATCAAGGGGTCAAATTATAAGTGGGACGCAATCAATTATGTGAACTTCAGTTACTTTAAAACCTGCATTCAACCAATCTTTTCCACAGCTTTTCTAAAATTATTGAAGAGATCCGAAAGATAAAGGACCAGGACCACCCTGTGATTTTTTCAAGAAAAAGGTAACCCTTCACCCTC